CTGGCAGCTGGTAGGCTGCTGGGAACTGGGAAGGGGGAGGGATGGGAGGGGTGCCGCGGGATTGAGGCGGGGAGGGAAGCAGGGGCGGGGTCCTGCACACGCGGGCATCCACTATCCACTGATGTACTTGCCCCTGCCCTGCCCCGGACCCCTCCCCGCCAACACACACACAACACACGCACACACACACAAGACAGCACACACACACGCACACCCTATGCCGCTGCCCGGCCCTGCCCTGCAGGCCGCTAGAGCGCGAGCGCATCACCGCCGCCGGCGGCCGCGTCACGCGCCTGGCCACCGACCGGCTGGGCAACCCTGCGGGCCCCTTCCGCGTCTTTGTGCCCAACTGCTGGTCGCCCGGCCTCGCCCTCAGTCGCGCGTTTGGCGACACACGTGCGCCCCGCCCAGCCCGCCGCTGCCAGGCACCCGCTCCGCGCCTGCCGCCCGGCCGCCGCTGCCGGGGCCGCACGCAGCCCTTCGCGCGGCCGCCGCTGCCGGCTGCCTCCTGGCCCTGCGGGCAGGGCCGCAGCTGCTCGCCTATGCTGCTCCCTGGCTGCTCCTGCTCACCCTGCCCTCCCCTGCCCCCGCCCACTGCCCCCCTCCTCGCCTTCCCTCTCCCGCCACAGTGGCCGCGTCTGTGGGCGTCACCGCCCAGCCTGAGCTCACTGTTCTGCCGCTGCCCGCGCCGCCCGACCCAGTCGCGCCCGCCGCCCTCGCCGCCGCCGCCGGCATCTCCAACGGTACCGCCGCCAGCTACTGCTCGGCGGACGGCGGTACCATGGCGGTACCTGCCCCCGGCGAGCGCCACGTGCTCATCGTGGCCTCAGACGGGCTGTGGGAGTGGATCAGCAACGCGACGGCCGTGGGCATCGCGTCAGGCGCCGCCAGCGGTGCGCAGGCCTGCCCTCGCCGCGCCGCACCTCCCGCCTCTTGCGCGCTGCGCTGTGCCTCCCGCGCTGCACCTCCCTGCCTGTGTGATGGCGCGGTTCCCGGGGCCCGCGCTCCTCCTGCCGGCCTGACCCGTAGCGTTGTGCCCGGCCCCTGCCCCGCCCACAGCTGAGGACGCCGCGCACGCGCTGGTGGAAGCTGCCCAGAAGCAGTGGGCGATACGGTACCGCGGTCGCAATTGCGACGACATCACCGTGGTGGTTGCCTTCCTGGAGAGGGGCGCTTAGAGCCCCTGGCAGCTGTACCGCACCTCCGCTGTGCATCCACAGAGCACATAGATGCGGGCCGCTTTCACCCGCCGCTTTCACCCGCCGCCCACAGCCAGGCCAGCACGCAACATGATCCATCGATCGAGAGCAGCTGTCGAGCCACCCCCAGCGCGAAACATACGCTGCCACCCCCAGCTGGTGCAACGAACCACCGGCCGAGCTGCGGGCGCAGCCCCGCCCGCCTTCCTAATTTTGACCTTCTGATGCCGTTCATCGGTGACCGCTGCAACACCCGCCGCCCGGCCGTTCTTTTTTTGACCTGTGTTTGTTTCACTCTTGTACCACCACCGCCGCCTGCCGCAGCAGCAGCGCCCCATTTTTCGCAGCAGGCCCGCCTGTGCCGTGCACCGCCGCTGGATCCCCAGCCCGACTCTGCCCTCGCCTTTCTATTCTTCTCTGCGTTGGTTTGGCGCCCGACCGTCCTCCCATTTTTAAAGGCCGCCTTTCACTTTCCCGTTGCCACGCCTGCCGCACCGTCCAGCCTGCGGCGCGGTTTTTAGCCGCCATATGCCTGCCGCCGCGGCTCGTTGCCAGGGCCGCATACCCCTCCCCGCCCGCGGCCTCCTCCCACCTTGCCCCCTCCCCCGTCCCTGTGCACTGTATTTTTCGAGCGATGTGCTCCCCTTCAGATGCCGCTGCAGAGCGCCCGCACGTGCAGCCCGCGCGACCGTCGCCCGCCTGCATCCACATCATTTTTGACCAGCCAGCCTCCCTCTGTCTACCCCCTGCCCCGGGCCGCTCCCGCCCCGCTCCTGATGCTGCCTTGTCCCACGTTTCCTTTGAAGTTTGAGAGTGCAGTCCCTTCCCACCCCGCCCACTGTGCCATTCCCTCTGCCCACCCCTCCCTACACGCCATCAGCGTGCCGGTCTGCCGCGCCTCTATTTTCGTCAGCCGGCCTGCCAGCGTGGGGTGGCAGCATGCCATGCCCATGTCCAAGCCACAGCTTCTTTCTGGAGAGTGCCGGGCGGTTGTGTCCACCACCCCCTCTCTCCTCTTTCATTCCCTCCCCCCCTGCGCAATGCCGCAGCAACCCATGCCGCCACTCTACTGCAGCCGATCCTCTTCGAATTCCCCCTAGCTTAGCTGCCATCCATGCCATTCATCCTTTCATCCTGCCAACCCGCACTTTGCACCACTTGATTACTGCCAGATCACTCCCGCCCCAACGCCCTGCCCCCGCCGCTGTAATCGCATCACGCCGCCTGGCTGCGGCAGCCACCAGGCCTCTGGCTGCCATGCATGCTTGCCAGGAGGGTATGCGGGAGTCCCCATCCTATGGATGCCCGGCACGCATCCATTGGGGGCGTCTGCGCCCAGCCACCTGCTGGGCAAACCGTGTCGAGATCAAGAGGTGCCGCCGTTTCCTTGCAAGCTTTGAGCTTTTGCTCCGGTTTACAGCGCCCCAGGCCCGCATCCCTCGTGTGCAGGAGATCGCTGCGTTCACGTGGTCCCTTTGTGAGGGAAGGTGGTATTTAAAGGTGGGAGGTGGTAGCGGAGGGGCGGTGTGAGGAGGGAGGGCGTCCTAGGCCTGAAAAAAAAAGTATTAAGCTATCGGTTGGAAGGCCGGTGCATTCATGGGGGGCTGCTGTGGTCATGCTGAGATTAGGAAAGAAGGCGAAGACAGAAAGATGGGGTTGGGACTGATAGGTACGCGGATACGGTGGGTGTGAAGACTCGGAGGATTGGAGGCCGGTGGGAAGAGAGGAACGGAGTAAACGCAGGGGGAGGGAATGGTGTGGTGCTGCTCAGTATTGGAAGACGCTGCATCCCTTGCCAAGGGGAGCTCTGCTCATGAGAAGAAGTGAAGAGGATTGGCGGACAGCGGGAACAGAGGAACGGCAGAAACGGAGGGGGAGGGGCTTGGTGTGGTGCCGCTGGAGGGAAATCGCATTGTGTGACGCTTGACGCTTCACCTCTTGTCAAGGGGAGCCCTGCTGATGAGTGGAAATAGCCTAGGTGGCGAGCGCACTGGCCGGGCCCTGCAAGCCACCCAGCTGCTGGTCGGTAGGGCTCGCGCGAGCCGCTGCGCAGGCGCCGTCGCCATCGCCGCAGCGGCAATCCTGCACAGCTGGCGCGTCCTCCGAGCCGCCCTGCTGCTGCTGCTCCACCGCAGGCGCGGCGCTGGGCTCGGCAGGCGCGGCAGCGGCCGCTCCAGCCGGCGGGCTGGCATTGGGTGGTGAGGGGTCCTCATCCGTGGGCGTACCTGCGGCGGTGCCGTCGCCAGCACAGCCTTCGCCCTTGCCGGCAGGGATTGCGCCGCTGGAGGCTGCGCCTGCGCCTGCCGGCACCGGGCCTGCCTCGGCTGGAACGAGGGCGGCAGGCTCGGCAGCAGGCTGCTCGTCAGGCACCTCCACTTCAGTGCCGCCCTCTGCCGAATGCCCTGCCATGCCTGCCGCTGCCGCGGGAGCTGCCAGGGTGCTGGAGCTGCCGCCGCCTGCAGCAGGGCCGGGCTGCGCGGCAGGCCCAAACAGGTGCGCTCCTAGTGCCATCAGCCGCCGGTACCGTGCCTGCGAGCGATGGGGGAACAAGGAGCGGCGGGCCAGTTTGGGCATGGTGCCGCCAGCCTGGTGCCTGTTCCATTGCAAGCTGCCTAGCCTGCTGGGAGTAGTAGCCATGGCAGCGCACAGGGCAGGCGTGGAGTGTGGTGGCTGTGATTGTGTGTGGTGATGGCGTGTGGTGGTGGCGTGCAGTGCTGGTGTGCTGTGGTGTGTGCTCACCTGGCGAGCGGTAGCAGCAAGCTCCACAAGTTCCAGACTGCTGCGCGCCTCGGCGGCGGCAGCAGCCAGGTCGCCACCGTTCCTGGCAAAAGCGGCCACCGCGCCGCCACCGCCGGCTCCAGGTGCCGCTGCCGTCACCGCCGCCGCGTCGGCGTCTTGCTCGCTGCCGCCCTCGGCCGCCGAGCGCTGCTGGGCCTGCGCCTGCTCCCGCTCCAGGGCTGCGGCCGCCTCGGCTGCCCGCACGGTAGCGGCAGCCAGCTCCTGCAGAGGAAGCGGCAGAGGCAGAGGTGGGGTGGGCAGGCAGGCAGGTGGGCAGGCATCCCGCAAAGAGAGGGTGGGTGTGCTGTTGATCCCAGGGGCACCAATCTCCGGAACAGAGATCATGAACCGTCCATCTTAGACTAAGTGAGGCGCCAGGTCAGCATGTGTGCATGCCCACCTGGCGTGCCCGCGCCAGCTCAGCGGCGGCGCGCTCTGCGGCCTCGGCCGCCGCCGCCGCCTGCCCACGCCGCTCCTGCAGCGCCTGCCAGGCCCCCAGCACCGCCTGCTCATGCTGCAGCTGCTCCAGAGTCACGGCGGCTGTGGCTGCAGCCAGGCCGGAGGGCAGCGGCGGCAGCGGCTGCGAGGCCTGCTGCTGCTCCTGGTGCTGGTGCTGGTGCTGGTGCTGGTGCTGCTGGTGCGCGGCCAGCGGCAGCGGGAGCGGCTGCTGCTGCGGCATGGTGGGGACAGGCATGGACAGTGGCGCGCCCAGGCCGCCCGGGGAAGGCCCCCGCTCGGGGTGGAGCAGAGCCTTGGAGGCGGTGGCGATGGCGGTGATGGAAGGGGCGGCGCTGGCGACGGCCCACTCCCGTGCAAACATGTCTGCCGCTGGCGCCCCACCCCCCGCCTCGCCAGGCGCGGCCGGCAGCCAGCTGGGGCCGCCACCGCCCGGGCCCGCATCTGCCGCCGCCACCGCTGCGTCGGCCGCCTGCAGGCTGAGCGGGCCGCTGCTGCGCAGCGCGCTGCCCGGCGGCGGCGCGTCCCAGAGCAGCGGCGAGGCGGCGCCGAGGCGGCCGCCGGCCAGCGCGCCGCCGCCCGCGGCCGCCGCCGCCGCGCTGGGGCTGCTGCCGCAGGCGCTGAGCAGGCGCTGCAGCTCTGCAGCCTCCTCAGCAAGCTCCTGCTGCTCCACGTCAGCGTCCGGCAGCTGCTGACGTGGCGCCACCACAGCGACCTCCAGCTCCAGCCCCGGCCCGGGCCCGGGCCCCTCCAGCCCGCCGCCCAGCCGCTGCCGCTTGCCTTCCTGGCTGGCGTCGCCGCTGCCGCCGGTGCTGAAGGGCGCGGCGGCCGCCGGGCCGGCCTGCGCCGCGGGCGCGGGAGAGGATCGCTTGCGGGGGGTGGCAGCGGGGGTGTCGCCGTGCTCAGGGGGGCTGTCCTGGAGCAGGGAGGACACCTTGATCTGCCTGCCATGCTGCGCGTGGCGGGGCGTCCCCTGCTGCGCCTGCTGCGCCTGCTGCGCCTGCTTGCCGCGCTCCCGCGGCGCCTGCTGCGCCTTGCCGCCGGCGTGGCCGCCGCCGCCTCCCTGGGCCCACGCCTGCTGCGACGCGCGGGGCGTGGCGGCCGGTGGCGGCTCTGGCAGCGGCCCCAGCTCCGACTCCTGCCACAGCTTCCGAAATGCGGCCTCCATGCGGGCGGCCATGCCGCTGCAGGGGCGCATGGCGACGCAGGGAGGCGCGTCGGCAGGCAGCAAGCGGGTGTGGAGGCGGGGAAGCGAGCCCTCCACGCACACAACCACACCAAGCACACAACCACGCCACAGCAGCACCGTCAGCCCACTCCCACTGGGCCCAGGCCCAGGCACAGGCGCGCACCAGATGCGGCTGCCCGCGGCGTTGTATTTGCGGCAGTTGGCCCACGTCAGCGCCACGTCGGCCGCCACCTCATCGGCGCCCCGGTACCCCGACGCCGCCCACCCGTCCCGCAGCCCTGCGGCGGCGGCGGCGGCAGCGGCAGCGGCAGGCACATTAGCGTGCTTGTACGCCGTGTGCCCGGCAGCATTCCTCCCATCCCTTCCGCGAAGAGAGCAGAGGCAGAAGCAGGCCCGGCCCGGCTGCGCTCTGCACTGCCTCTGCCCTGCACCCCACCTGAGGTCAGGCGGTCCCGGATGGTACCCAGGTCCATGGGGCGTCGGATGACCTGGCGGTACTCTGGGATACCCAGCCCCTCGGCATCCACCTGCGGCGGCGGGGCCAGCCAGCCGACACAGGGCGCAGCACAGGATCAGCGGGGACTTGGGAGGATAGGCTGGAGGGCCGGCATCCGGCTGCCATCGAGAGGGGATTCCCAAGTGGAGTGCCAAAGAGCACAGCGGCACGCTGCGCAGCGGTGTGGCAGGCCTGCCACAGCCGGCAAGCTCTCCAACACAGCAGGGCACGGCCCCGGCAGGCAGGCAGCCAGCAGGCCCTCACCGGCTCTGAGAAGGGCTCGGCATCATCCAGCTGCAGCAGCCGCAGCACAACCAGCAGGCAGCGGTGGAGCGGGTGTGGGTGCCTGCATGGGGTGCATGCCGAAGGCGCAACAAGCGCAGCGGCATGAGGACAGGCCCCGGCGTGGCTGCGGCTCGATGAGCGGCGTCAGCATTGCATCGAGCAGCGAACAGAGCAATGGAAGGAAGCGCAAGCTGCAAGCCGCAGCAGAACGAAACGCAGCGCACCCCAGCTGGCCGTCGCTGCCGCCGCCAGGCTGCGCCGCCGCGGGGGGGAGCTGCACGCTGGGCTGAGGCTGCTGCTGCTGCTGCTGCTGCTGCTGCTGGCCGTGCCCTGGCACCGGCAGCGGCAGCTCGCCCGCCCGGAAGCTGCCTGCAGCCGAGGCCAGCAAGTCGCGGCTGCCCTCCTGCACAAGCCCAGCGAGCAGCGCTTCCCCTTGCTGCTGCTGCTGCTGCTGCATGTGCCGGTGCAGCAGCATGTCACCGAGCATGGCGGCCATCCCGCCGGCCCCGTGCGCCTGCGGTGCCGTGCCGTCCATGGGGCCGCCCTGGGGCACCAGTCCCCCTCCCGGCGCCTGCTGCTGCTGCTGCTGCTGCTGCTCCTGCTCCTGCTCCTGCTGCTGCTGGCGCCGCTGCTGCAGCACCATAATCATCTTGTGTTTCAGCTGGGCCAGCCTCGCCCGCTGCCGCTCGTGCTCCTCATCCTCCGGCGCGGGGCCTTGCCCCGGCGGCGCCTGCCCCTGCAGCATGGCCGCCAGCTGCGCCGCCTGCGGTTGCTGGGCGGGCGGCAGCCCCGGGGACCTCCGCGACGGCTTGGGCGGCATCTGGCCCTGCATCATGGCCGCCAGCACGGCCGCCTGCTGCTCGGCCAGGCTGGAGGGCCGCCCAGCGGCGCCGTCTGCCTGCTGGTGGTGGTGCAGCAGCTGCTGCTGGCGCTGGGGGTGCTGCTGGTGCTGGGCCGCAGGCAACGAGATGGGGGAAAAGCCGGGGAGCGGTGAGGCAGTGTCAAAGCCGTGTGTGCCGCCTGGCTGGCCGCCCAGCCCTCCCAGCAGGTCCGCCTGGGGCCGCAGCAGCGCCTGGCGCCGCTGCTCGCGAGCCGAGGCCACTTGCTGCTGGTGCTGGTGCTGGTGCTGCTGCTGCTGCTGCTGCAGGGCAGCCAGCTGCTCGTAGGTGCCCTGCATGCCGCCCAGGTGCTGCGGCTGCGGCGTGTGGCCGCGCAGCAGCTGCTGGGGCGTGGGCTGCATGGGGGGGGAGAGGGGGCCCGAGGGGGGCAGCTCCAGAGAGCCCCACATCTGCTGATGCCGCTGCTGCTGCTGCTGTTGGTGGTGGGGGTGCAGCTGCTGCTGGTGCTGCTGCTGCATGAGCTGCGCAGCGTCCAGCTGCTGCAGCCCTGCCGACCAAGCCTGCAACAGCTGCTGCTGCTGCTGCTGCGCCTGCGCCTGCTGCTGCGCCTGCTGCTGCGGCGGCTCCCAGCGGCCGTTGGCGGGCCCGGCCGGCGGCGCCGGCGGCGCGGCCTCCAGGCCGAAGCGCCGCCACAAGGCATCTACCTGCGGCGCGAGCTGCTCGCAGGCGCAGAAGGCCTCGCTGCCAGGCGGGTGAGCGGCGCGGCACTGCGCCCAGATGCCCAGGATGTCGGCATGCACCTCGCCAGGGCTGCCGTAGGCTCCTGCCATCAGCCGGTTGAGGATGGCGGCAAAGCACATGGGCGGCGGCTGCACTGGGGGGGAGGGGCAGGGAGCGCGGCGGGAGAGCGTGGATGGGCAGGCGTGCTGGAGCGGCGGGATCAGCAGCCGGCAGGCGGCCTGCGACAGCCCTCGTGGCAATGTGCCAGTGCACATGCGAAGGCACGCGATCCCAAAGCCAGGAGTGCCGTGACAGGCACTTGCGGGCAAGGGGCACTTACCGAGCCGCCGCCGGGGGCTGGCTTGGGGCTGTTGAAGTGCGCCTTGGCTATGTCATGCTGGATCACCTCCAGGATCACCTGCGAAGCACCCAGCAGAGCAGCGGCAGCTGGTGGGCGGCAGGGCACAAGAAATGGGGACAGGAAGGAGCGGCAGCAGCGCGGCAGCACCCCCAGCCCCCCGCCTCGCCTGGTTGACGCGGTGCGTCCAGTGCCGCTGCTGCTGCGCGTCGCCCCCCATGGTTCAGGGCACGCAGGAAGCTTGTCAGGACCTTCGAAAGCGCCCCGCCGCCGCCGTTTGCAGCAGGCTACGGCCGTCCACGGACTTGCATGAAGATCTGGGCTGTCGGAGGCGCTCGAGGGCTGCCTGGGTAGCTGCCCAATTGCGCTCGGGAGAGGCGCTCTCGGTACCGCACGGGGTGATGTGCTGGGCCGCTGCCGATGCAGGAGATGCGCATGCAATCTTGGTGGAAGCAGCCTGGGGCTGCAGAGCTTAAGCTGGACTGTGCCCCTTCCACAGCACGCCAGCTCGGCACAGCATGGCCCGCAGGTTGCTACTGGGGCGCCCACTCCCATCGGCGGTCGCTTGCGAACGATCATCGATGCACCAGGGCATGCGGGAGGCGCGGGGCACCCTATTCGCCCCGATCAAGCAGTCAACCGGTTGAGGAGCAGTCTGTGAGGCTTGCCGGCTCGCCGCGTGAGGGGCAGCGACGCCTGCTGTGTGTTCGCCGGCCTGCCGCCGCCGCCTCGCGCTTCCTCCCGTCCGCACCCGCTCCCGCCGACCGCCCCTGCTTCGCCCCTCTGCAGAGCGCCGTCTGGGGCATAGCGCGATGCAGGTGGCGCCACTGGACTCCCTTGCCCACCTGCCGGGTCCGCCGGTCAAGGAGAAGAACCGAGGGGCGGCCGCCATCCATGCGGGCCAGCTCCTGGCCTATGCCGCCGCCTCGGCGGTGGTGGTGGTCGACGTGAGGCGCCCGTCACCCCGGCCTGCTGGCATGCTTGCTTTGATGCCGTGCGCCGCAGGCTCAGCTTGCAAAGAGGTGTGCCGTGCTTGCCGGGCTGCGGTGAAAAGAGCCAAGCCCTGCCGCCGCCGCCGCCGCCTGCAGGCTCAGAGCCTGACCGTGGCGACCACGCTGGCGGGAGCGCACCGGCAGGCGGCCGTGTCGGCACTGGCTTGGTGGGTGCTGCCGCTGCAGCGGTTTCTGGGTGCTGCACGCATGCGCTGCGCGCTTCGCGGGATGCTGTGGGCTTGCGGGGATCGCAACAGCGCATCACGCAGCACTCCCACCTGCGTTGCCGCATGCCCCGCCGGGCAGCGACGGCGGGTGCTGCCGCATGCCTCTGCTCCACCGCCCCCACCCCTGCACGTCCCCTCCTCCCTGTGGCAGGCACCCCGGCAGCGGCCCGCGCGAGGCGCGCGCCGCGGCGCAGCTGCGACTGGCCAGCGGGGACGAGGAGGGGCAGGTGATGGTGTGGAACGTCAACACGGGGGCGGTCATTGCGGCGCTGGAGGATCCCTGGGCCTCCGCCTTTGGCGGCACAGCCGGGGCCAAGCGCCCCGAGAGCCACGGCGGCGGCGGCGGCGGCGGCGGCCGGCCGCCGGTGGTGGGGCTGGCCTGGGCCACCGCCGCGCCCAGCGTGCTGGCCGTCCTGCTGGCGCCCTGCATCCTGCTGCTCTGGGACTACCGTAGTGAGTGCAGGGCAGCTGCTGCGGCGGCGATGGTGGTGTTGGCGGTGCTGTGGACGACGTTGGCTGAGGGCTGAGTGTGGGTGTGCACTAGGGGGTGGGGTGGGGGGGCTGGCAAGCAGGGGCCGGCGAGAGCAAGCAGGTCTCCGGAGCTGCCGCTCTAAAAGGCTCGCCACCATTTCGCTAACACCTGCCGCAGCGGGCGGCGTCGTGTGGCGTAAAGACTTTGGCGGCGGCGAGGCGTTCACCGGGCTGGTGGTGGACCCTCTGGACCGCCGCCGCCTGGTGATGTGCGGCGCCAAGGGCTCCTTTGTGGTGCTGTGGTGAGCGCCTGCGGGGCCCGCGGGGGGCGGGTGCGGCGTGGCGCGGCAGTGCTGCCTGCCGGTCCCTTGCGCACCCTGCCTGTGCCGCTCGGCGCCTAGCGGTCCGCCTGCCGCCCATCCCGGCTGCTCCCTCCTCCCTTCCCACCTGACTGCTCCCCTCCCTTCCACCCCACCTGCTTCCTCCTCCTTTCACCCTGACTCCCACCCGGCAACTGACTGCTCCCTTCCTCTTTCCTCCACCCTGCCCACGCTTTCCTCCCCGCAGCCTGCTCAACCCCGCCTCCGACCGCATCCGGCAGCAGCAGTACCAGGTGGACCTTGGCGGCAGCGGTACCCTGCGCGCCGCCTTCAGCGCCACGCCAGACCTCCTGTTCCTGCTGCTGCAGCGAGAGGTGGGCGCCTGCAGCCCAGGGATCGCCTTCCCTGGACACATCTTGCTGTGCTGCATCGTGTGTGTGCCCTCTGCTCTGCAAATGTTCCTCGGAGCATCGTGGCCCCATCTTGGCCACGAGCCATGCGTCTGCCGCATGCGATGGTACTGCATTTTATCCACCAGTACCATGCAGATCATCGTGTTCGACCTGGAGTACGGCCAGCCTGCGGCTTCCACGCCGCTGCCGGGAAGCCGCCCGCCGCTGGAAGACCTGCTGGGCTGCTACGGGCATGCAGGCGCGGCGGCGGCGGCGCGTGCCGCACCCGCCTGCCTTGCACAGCTGCTTGGCTGCTTGCAGAAGGGCTGCCTGTCCCTAGGTGTTGTTCAGCAGGGCAGGGAAAGTCGTCGAGCCTGGCCGTCGCCGCCGTGGCCCCCGCATGCGACCGCCCCCGCCCCCTGCCTCTCCACCGCCGCCGCCGCGCCGTGCGCTGGCTGCAGCCGCGGGCAAGTCTCTGGGCGAGGGCGGCATCGATGTGCTGTACTGCTCGCACCGCGATGGAAGCGTGAGCGTGTGGCAGCGCCACCCCCGCCTCCTCACCTACGCCTGCCTGGGGGCCAGCAAGCTGGTGCCCGCGACGGCCAAGTTTGGGCCGGGTGAGCGGCAGCCGAGGCGGGGCCTGCCCTGTGGCGCTCCCAGCAGGGCAGGCTGCCTGGCAGGTGGCCGGCGGGCTGCAGGTGGCTGCCATCCTTTCCAGCCAGGCAGAGAAGCCAGCCGCTGTCCCTGCCCCTGATGTTCCGCCGCCGCCGCCTGCTGCCATGCCGCCGCTTGCCCCTCGCTGCAGCGCCCAGCCTGCTGGCGCTGGGAGCGGCACTGTGGCGCGGGCTGGAGGCGCCTGCGGCGCCCGACGCCTCCTCCCTGCTGATCGCCACAGACGGCAGGCGCCATCCGGGCATGGCCCGCCGCCTGTCCTCAGGAGAGGTCCGGGGTGGCGGCAGCGGTACCGCAGAGGGCGGCGACGTGGCCGGGGACGTGCCGACCGGCGGCGGCGGCGAGGCCGGCGGCCGCGGAGCCGCCGAGGGCTCCCGCGGCGCGGCGGTGGTGGCGGCGGTGGAGCAGCAGGCGCAGCAGGAGGCTGCGGGGCACGCCGTGCTGCTCATGGGGGTGGGCAGCGACGGGCGGGTGTGGCAGTGGCAGCTGCCGCTGCTCAGCGGCGAGCTCCCGGACGCCAAGGCCGCCGCCTCTGGCCTGCCGCCTGCACCCAGGCCTGAGCTGCTAGGTGGGGCTGCTGCTGAATCCGCTGGTCCTGCAGCAATGCATCTTGCTAGCTGGGTGCAGAGGCAGCTGGGTGCAGGGGCAGCACCGCACCATGGCAGTCCTCCCTCTGGCCCTTAACCCCCACCAACACAAGCACACAGCGCCGACCCCCTGCCCCCACCCTGCCCCCCAGGCCTGCTGCACACGCTGCCGCACAAGGTCACCAGCTTCTGCGCCTGCCCGGTGCCGGTGGTACTGCCCGGTACCGCCGGCGGCGCCGCCATCGCCGTCGTGGCAGCCGCCACCGCGGCCGGTACCATCGAAGTGGCGGCGGTGCAGCAGGGGGCGCTGCTGCCGCTGCACCTCAGCATCAGCACATCCCTGGCCGCCCACCCCTCCTCCGTGCATGTGAGCCGCCCCAGCCCAGCCAGCCGCATAAGGGGCGTTGCCGGTTTGGCGCAGCCTGACGCTCCTGCTGGCCTCTTGCTGCTGCCGCGCCCGCGGCGTGTTGATGCTCCTGGGTGGCCGCTGCAGCTGCACAGTGCGGCGTCGCACCTGCGCTCTCTCTCCCTCTCCCCCTACACACACACACACACACACACGCACACATGCACATGCACACGCCCTGCCCTGCCCTGCCCTGCCCTGCCCTGCCCTGCAGGGCCTGCGCTGGCTGGGCTCCACCGCCCGCCTCGTGTCCTACAGCACCGAAAAGCTGGGGGACAAAGGGTACCGCAACACGCTGCTGCTGACGGGTGGGTGTGAGGGAGCGTTTGTGTGTGCGGGGACGGGTGGGTGGGTGGGCAGAGGCACGCTCCTGGTGGCGGCGAGCGGCTGGCCGCGGCGGCGCGGTTGGCGGGGCAGGAGGGGATCGGCGGTTGGCGGCTTCCCAGCTGGCCGGTGTGCGTGCCTGCGCGCAGCGGTCGGGTGGCGCAGGCTGGAGCGCCAGGGCTCAGCAAGGGACTCTTCCCACCTCACCACCACCACCACTGCCCTGCTCATTCGCCCCACTCCCACCATCCGTTCATGTCCCATCCACCATTCCCCCACCACCCACGCATCAGCCACCCCCACCCACAATGCCGCAGACGTGCGCAACCGCGTGAGCACGCCCTTCCGCGCAGCAGGCGCGGCAGACGGGGTGCCGCTGGCGGGCCTGCGCGCCTCGCCCTCGGGCCGCTACCTGCTGCTCCTCTTCAGGTGGCACCCGCTCGGCTGCCTGCCCGCCTGCCTGCCCGCCCGCCTGCCTGTCTGCCTGCCCGCCCGCCTGCGTGCCTGCCTGCCCGCCCGCCCGCCAGGCTGGCTGTGTGGTCCCGCTTCCAGCCGCTTGCATGCACGCCGGGCGCTGCTGGCTGCCTCCCCTCACGCTGTCCTGCCCCACTAATACCCCCTAGCTCTCACTCTCAGTCCTCTTAAGCTCTCACCCCTCTGGCCCTCCTTGCTGCCGCAGGGGCGCTCCGTCTGAGATCTGGTCGGTTGGCGGCGGCGCCCAGCCCGCCCGCCTGCGCCAGGTGGAGCTCCAGTTTGCGGCGGTGGAGTGGCTGCCCCCGCTGCCGGCGGGAGTGACCCACGACATGGGCCCCTTGGCTGCCTCCGCCGCAGCCGCCTCGGCTGCCGCAATCGGCAGCCCCGCGGCCACAGGGGCGGCCTGCAGCGGGGGCAACCCCTGGGCAGCCTCACCCAGGGCGGCGGAGCGGGCGGCCGGCGGGCAAGCGGCGCTGCCGTGCCTGCTCTGCCCCCGTGCCTGCCGCTTGCCCTGCCTAGCTGCTGCCACACCTCGCCGTCGATTGGCCCTCCCCTGTTCTCCTGCTGCCCCTTCCTCTGAGCCCGCCCTCCAATTAGGGTTCAGGGTTGCTGCCTCAGCTCACCTGCACACACCCCCACCTGCCCACCTGCCTCTGACCCCCTGCAGCTACCAGTTCCTGGAAGAAAGCGAGGAGCCGCCCGAGGAGCGGCTGGCCTTCTCCCTGCTCGACGGGCGGGCGGGCGTGCTGGGCATACGCGGGCGCCGCATCAGCGACACCCGGCCGCGCCGACCCGCCTGGCAGGCGCTGGCCTCGGGAGGTGGGTGGGGCTTGGAGGCGGGGAGGCACGGTCCCGTGAATTCAGGGCGGGCTGGGGTGTTTTGGCAGTACCAAAAAGCGCTACATGGGCGACACGGCAGGGAGCATCAACGCGGTGTTGGGGCTAGTGATGGCTAGTAAAATGGGCTAAGGCGGCACCGGGCCCTTGCAAACTGTATTTGCAAGGGGCCCACCTGCGCCCCACTTACACCTGCTCGCATCATGGCATGCCGCTGCCAGCCCCTGTGATCCTGCCCCGCGGCCCTATGGCTTTGCCCTGCTGTTGCTTCCCCGCACCTGCCCCAAGCCCTGCAACCGCCAGTCCTCCCCGTCCCCGCACCTGGCCCACCTTGCAGACTTCCGGGCGGTGGCCATCGGCTCCTGGGGCCAGTCTGTGCTGCTGGGGGATGCAGAGGGCACGCTGGCGCACTGGGACACAGGTGGGGCTGGCCGGCAGCTGCGGTGCTGCTGCGGTACTGCTGCGGCACTTCTGTCCCTGAGGGCCCGCCACCAGGCCGTGCAGCTGCCGGCGGGGCGGCGGGTGTGCCTCTCCATCTCCCGTTCCCAGCCGCCCGGCCATCAGGGTGCTGCTGCCCCCCCTGCCTCCCCCACTTCCTGCTGTCACTGCTTCCAGCGGTGCTTTGGCTCCCGCCCAATCGCAGCTCGACTTGCGTGGTGGTTGTGTGAGCTTCCAGTCTGCCTTCAGCAAGAACATGCTCTGTATACAGAACAGACATAAGGCGACACCCTCTCCTGCCCTCCCTCCCGCCGCCCCCTGCAGTGACCGGCAAGTGCTCGGTCATGGAGACGGGCTACGGCCGGATCCACCGCATCTGCACCTCTGCCCCGCCCGCAGAGGCCCTCTACCCCCGCCTCCCCGGCACCGCGGCAGGTACGGCGGCCGGCTGCTGTGGTCTCTGCCCCCCGTCGTGTCTGTCCACACATAAGGATCAAGTGCATGCTACGGGCCCACTCTACGCGCCCTCGGGCTCGGGGCCCGTGCCGCCTTCCCCCATACCCCCGCCCCGGCCAGCTGCACACGCACATCTGGCACGCATACGCCACCCACCCGCCGCTACACGCCCCATGCTCCTCCCACGCAGTGCAAGCCCGCGTGGCCCTGCTGTTTGCCAGCGGCCTGTTTGCCGCATACGACCTGGATCTGTCTGGAGAGCTATGGGCCACGCACACCACCGCCAGCGCGGCGGCGGCACGCGTGGGGCGCGTGACGGATGTCGGCTGGCTGCCGCTGCCGGGGACCGTGGGTGAGACGAGGGGCGACCGCCGCGTGCGCTGGGCTGGCGGCAGCTGTGCCGACGGTGGCCTTGCTCCAGCTGGTGTGCTGCTTTCGAAAAGACAGAAACGTTGGGGCTTGATCTACCCCGCCGATGGCCGCCAATGGCGTGCCTGACGTACGGCATCCTCGCTCGCCACTCGCCCCTCGATGCCAACACCTCACGCCCCGCACACTGCTGCCGTGCCGCAGGCGGCGGCGCGGTGCTGGCGGCCTCGCTGGCCGACGGCGCCCTCGCGCTGTTTGACACGGTACACAGCATCGACGTGCGGCCCCGCCGCGCCCGCATGCAGCGGTACCGCGCCGCGCTGCACACGCCGCCGCCCCCCGGCGCCGCCGGCGGCGCCTGGGGCCTGGCAGCCGCGGCGCCCGCGGCGGCGCCGCTGCTGCTGCCACGCGCCTGGGCGCTGCTGCTGCGCCTGCTGCTGCAGCGCGAGGTGCCGGAGGTGGCGTTCCGGGAGCTGGGCACGCTGGCCGCTTCCATCGGCCACGGTACTGCATGCGGCGGTGCCGCGGTACCGGGCAGCATGACGGTGGATGCTGAGCTGGCGCTGGAGCGGCTGGAGGCAGATGTGGGTGGCCCCTGCGCCGCCGCCTGCGCGTGCCTGCGCGGCACTGCCAGCCTCCTGCGCTCGTTGTGTGGCGCTGTAGGCGGCTCGAGGCAGCTTGCCTACAGAGCCAGCCTGCCAGGGGCTGCTCTGCTCTGCTCCGCTCTGCTCCGCTCTGCTCCACTCTGCTCTGCTCTGCTCACCTGTTCCCCGCCCACCTGCCGTTCCCCTGCACTCACCCCGCACCCCCCAACACACCCACACCTGCGCACACGCATGCTCCCACACCCCACCCCCGCCCCTCCCCCTTGCACCCAGATCTGGGGCCGCCTGCCCCGCGCCTGCCAGGCGGCCTGGGGGGCCCTCCTGGCGCAGCGCGCGGAGGGCGGCGAGGGCGCGGCGGCGGCGGCGGCAGAGGGTTCCTCTCTGATGCAGCTGGTTGAGAGCTTTGGGGTGGACTCAGGTGGGGGGCAGCCCCTGGGTGTGTGTGCAGCCCTCGGGGCTGGCTTGTTTCCAATTGCTCAAGGTTGTTTGGCCGCCAGGTCAAGAGGGAGGGGCAGCGCGTGCCTGCCGGCATGGCTGCGCGGCACGCCGCACGGGGGCAAGCGGGCGACAGCGCCCCCTGCCACCCTGAACTTCTGCTGCTGCTGCGCCGCCGCCGCCGCCGCTCCCTGCTCCCGCTGCTGCCGCAGACGAGGATGAGGCCGGGGCCGGCGGCGGCGGTAGTACCAGCATGGATGTGGCGGCGGTGGCGGCGGGGCGCGACCAGCGCGGGGCGCGGGAGTCTTTCGAGGGCTCTGCCGTACGGGACGAGGCGGCGGCGGCCGCGCTGGGGCTGACCAGCCGCCAGGGCAGCGCCACGGGGGCGGCGGCCGCGCCGGGCGGCGGCGCGGGCCGCAGGCCTGTGTCCCAGACCTTCAGGAGCATCGGTGGCGCGGTGAAGAGCCAGCTGCGGTCGCTGGCGGCGGGCGGCGGGCGCGGCGCGCAGCCGCTGGTGGCGGCGGTGGCGGGCATCTCCGACGGTGGGACGCCTGGTGGTGCCGCTGCTGCTGCTGTGCTGCTGCTGCTTGAGGCTGGCGGCGGGTGGCTGCTTTCCGCTTCGGAGACGGCGGCTGCTGGTCGGTTGCTGGCGGCGGGTTATGCTGCTTGTGCGCCTTTTACGCTGCTACGCCGGCGGCGGCCGATCGCGGTGCAAGCCTGCCCCCCTTGCTGGCTGCCTGGCGCAGGCTTTGAGTACGGGCAGCAGCGGGCGGGCTTCCAGTCGCTGGTGGCTGTGCTGCACGCGGTAGCCACCGCCCGCGGCCAGCCCGCGGTGCTCTCCCCTGCTGAGCTGGCGGCGTACGGGCGGGCGCTGGGCAGGCGCCAGGTGGCCGCCCGCATGGCGCTGGCTGCTGAGCTGGCGGGGGAGGCGTGCGAGGCGGCCTTCTGGCGCCGCCTGCCAGCGACCCTGCGCTGGTTGGCGGCCGCGTTGGCGCAGCAGCCCACGCCGCGGACCTCCGCCGGCGGCGGCGGCGACGGCGGCGCAGCCGCCGGGCGCCGGCTGTGGGATGAGGGGCTGCAGCTGGCCGAGAGCGGGGAGCGGTCGGGGTGGCACGAGCAGATGAGCCGCAGGGTGTTTGAGGGGTCGGAGGACCTGCAGGTGTGTGTGTGTGTGTAGGGAGGGAAAGGCTGCTGGGCTGGCAGAGGCCGAGGAGCCTGGGCAGGAGCCATGGGCCCCTAGATACAGACTGGGCGAGCCTGCCGCCTTGTAGAGAGTGGGCGAGCCGATTATGCCTGCCGCCGCTGCTGCTGCGGTGGCGGCGGCTGCCGCTGCATGTCGGGCCGCTCATCAGCCCTCGCGCCCCAGCCATGCCCCTACCCGCCCACACACAGTCACCACCAGCACCACACAATCCTTGTACCGCACGCGATCCTTGTACCGCACCTTGGTACCGCAGGAGAAGCGGGTCCTGGAGTACGTGGCGCTGGGCGACTTCCAGACGGCCGTCGGCTTCCTGCTGGCTTCCCCGCCTGACCGTACCACGCGGTACTACCGTGACGCGCTGTGCACGCTGGGCATGGCCTTTGCCTGCGGCCTGCAGCAGACCGCGCTGCTGGCGGGGCCCGGCGGCGCCGGCGGGCTGGGCTCGCCGCGGCAGCCGCCGCCGCCCAGCATGCTGCCGGCGGGGAGCGGCAGCATGATGGCGGGCACGCCAGCTGGCGCCACCTCAGCGGCCGTGGCCAGCACCGTGGAGGAGTCTGCGGCTCGGACGCTGTTTGTGCAGGCAGCCAAGGTCATCACAGCCAACGCGGCGGCGGTGGGGGACACGCTGCTGGGCGTGCCGCTGCTGTGCTCCACAGGTGCGGAGGCGGGCGGGAGCACAGCCCGTTACCACCGCCGGCCGCTGGTGCTGCCGCCGCTGGGGCTGCTGCGGCTGCGACGGCGGCTGTATGTGTGCACAAGGCATCGCTGCTCCTAACCCACCCTGTCCCGCTACCCGAGCGGAGCATGGCGGCACGCCTGCATCTATCATCCATGCCCCCTGCGTGCATGCTGCTGTTCAACACCACCTCTACCTCGTTTTTGGACTGGTCGCCGATGTTTTGCTCGTCGGTACGCCTGTCTGTGCTGGCGTGCAGGCCAGCACGCAGATGCTGCAGCGCTGCTGCAAGACTCGGGCCTGTGGCGCTACGCCGCCACCCTCACCGCCCACGCCCTCAGGCGCGACCCCTGCTGCCTTTGCCGGGCGCGGCGCCTGGCCCGGCCGCTGGCGCAGCGCATGCAGAAGCGGGGCGCTTTCCTCACATGCTTTCCTTCCTGCCCACCCACCCACCGACCCACGCATGCACTCCTGGCCGCGCGTGCGCCTGCCATCCTGTGCAGGGGCTCGGAGCGAGCGGCGGCGGTGGAGCGCTGGGCGGGGCACGTGGCGGCGGCGGAGGGGCGGCCCTGGGCGGCCGCGGGGCTGCTGGTGGCGGCAGGCTCGCTGCAATCCGCCCTCACCCTGCTGCGCCAGGTTAGCCTGCCGGCTGGCGGCTAGCCGTGGGCTGGCGCAGTCGCCGCGCCAATGGCTGGCAGCGCCTGCTGGCACTGCTGCTGCTGCTGCGGCGGCGGCGGCTGCTGCTGGGCGAGGCTGCACGCCTCGTCTCCCCATCGCCTCCCCATCCGCATCCCCTCTTCCTCCCTGTGTCCCTCCCCGCCTGAGCCCCGCAGCACGGCCTGCCCGACGCGGCGGCTGCGCTGGTCAGCGCCTGCAAGGAGGCCGAGCTGCCGCTGCAGCAGCACAGCGTGGCCAGCGGGGAGCTGGCCAACCTGTTTGCGGGGGCGGGACGCGGCGGGCCGCACGCCCAGCCCATGCAGCGCTTTGACGGCGGTGGGTGCGGGCGGCTGCGGCCGCCGCTGGCTCCGCTGCTCTCGCTGTGCTATGCTGCGCTGTGCTGCTGTGTTGAGCGGTGCTATGGTGCGCTGTGCGCTGTGCTGCTCCTCTGCTGTGCTGCTCCTCTGCTCTGCTCTTCTGATCTGCTGCCGCTGTGCTGCTCCCCTGCTGCTGCTCCTCTGCTGTGCTGCTGCTGTGCTGCTCCCCTGCTGCAGCCCCTCTGCTCCTGCTGCTGCCATGCTTTTCAGCTCCTCAGCTGCCTCCCTCACTCCTCTCTGCTGCTCCCTGCCCGCCGCCCCCGCAGCCGGCGCGCGCCTGCCCAGCCCGCCCGCCCCGGGGGAGCGGCCGCCGGCGGCGCCCTCCCTGCAGCGAACCCTCACCGACTACGAGCGCAGCGAGGCGGCCAAGGAGTTCCAGCTGTACGCCTGTGAGCTGCTGCAGCAGCTGTAGCAGCCGCTGCGCCGCCTGAGAGTGTGAGCAGCATGCTGTGGCGGACGGCGGGGTGGGGGCTTGCTAGCGCGTCGGCGGCAGCTGGTGCACCGCAGCTGGCCGATGGAAAAGCTGTGAGCCTGTGGGTGGGCACACAGGGGTCCCCCCCCCTTGTGTGCCCCAGGCGCAGCAGGCGTCGTAAGGATTGCAATCCTGTCCGCGCCCCAGCGGGGGTGCGTGGAGAGCTGCTGCTGCAGCCGCGTGGCGCAGGGCCGCTCGGCTCCTGGTGCAGGCAGGCTGCTTTCAAGGGACCGTACACACAGCCTGGTCTACTTGCAACACACAAACTGGTTCATTTTGCAACAGAAAGAAGGAGAACCGTTATTTATTTGTCTGACAAAGCAGGCATGGGGCCATCAGGCAGCAAAGAAGGACAGGGCACGCTGGACAGCCAGGTCAGGGAGTTGAATGCCGAGCATCGTCTGTGCACGGCCGAGCGCCAGCGCAAAGGTGCGCAGCCGGTGCGCGTCGGCGGGCGCCAGGCGCCGCACCACCTGCCGCGCCTGGGCGGGCGAGTGCGCGAACGCCGCGGGCAGCGCTCGGCCCAGGCTCGGGCAGGGCGACGGCACCTGCGCCCACTGCGCCTCGCTCAGCGGCACCCGGGCGATGACGAAGTCGGCAAACAGCGGATGCGCCGCTGGGCCCGCCGCCGCCAGCGCTGCCAGCTCTTCGGCCTGCGGGCAGTAGCCAAGCAGGCGTCGGGCGACGGCTAGGTGGCGGTGCCGCAGCGCCACCTCCAGCGGCGTCTCCGCGGCGCCCGCCTCATCCCCAAGGTGCCCGCCGCCTCTCAAGGTGGCCGCCTGGGGTGCCGCAGCCAGGAGCAGCTCCGTGACAGCCGCACGCGGCAGCGCGGCCGCCAGGTGCAGCGGCGTGTTGCCGTGCTTGTCGGCCACCAGTGTGGTCGCCGGCGCCGCTCGCACCAGCAGCTGCACTGCTGGTGCGTTGCCGTGCTGCACCGCGCAGTGCAGGGGTGTGTGGCGAGCGCTTTCCTGGGGGGAAGGATGATTCGACACGGCGCAAGGGTCCCCCCAGCCCGCCGCCAGCAGCAGCTGCAGAGCTGCCACGCCGGGGCGCTCTGCCGCCAGGTGCAGCAGCGCCTTGCCGTGCCGTTCCACAGCCGCGGTTGCTGCCACAGCCGGCTGCATCAGCGCTGCGTTCTGGTGCTGTGCCGTGCGCTGCAGCAGCACCAAGCCGTCTTCGCCGGCTGCCGCTGCGGCAGCAGCCACCGCCTCCACTAAAGGGATCAGCGCTGCTGCGTTCCGCCGACGCAGCGCGCGCTGGAGCGGGTTCCAACCATAGTTGTCTGGGGTCATGGCTGAGGCTGGGCGCACCGCCAGCAGTGCCTCCAGTGCCGGCACGTTCTGGCACTCTTCTGCATAGTGAGCCGGCGTGCGGCCGAGCCGGTCCCCTGCCGTCAGTGTTGCCGGCGCCGCCTCCACCAGTGCCTTTACCGCTGCCGCAGTCTGCTCAGCCGGCACTGAAGCTTGGGTCTGCGCCAGGCGATGCAGCGGCATCCAGCCGCAGCCGTCGGTAGCGGTGGCAGCCTGCGGAGCGGCGGCCAGGACCACTGCCACTGCTGCCGCATTGTGCTCCGCCGCCGCTGCATGCAGCGGCGTGCCACCATTGCAGTCGGTCACTGCGCCTAATGCAGGTGCCGCTGCCGCCAGCAGCTGCGCGGTGACAGCTTTCCTTGGCCGTGCCACGAATGGGGAGGGCCCCCGCTTGTCCCCAAGCGCACATGCCGCGTGCAGCAGTGTGTTCCCTTCAGGCAGCTCTGCAGGATGGAAAGGCAGGAGGAAGATACTGGCTTGCTTGCAGCGTTGGCTTGCACTGCTGCCGGCCATACATTGACGGCTGGCCCGTTTGCTGCGCCGACGGCAGGCACCCACCTGCCAGCTGCACGGCACACTCCTGCAGCTGCTCCACCAGCTGGCGGAAGCTGGCATCGCGCGCCGCACTGCCACCACCAGTAGCGATGGCCAGGCTGCATGGGGCATGGCAGGGGCAGGGGGGCACATGTGACACCTCACAGAGACCAGCAGGCAGGCATGCAATATGGCGGCGGGCTGCTCACTTGGGCGGCCCGTAGGGGCTGCGCAGCTGCAGCGCCTCCACCGGCTGCCCCGCATTCACAGCTTCCTTGACTGCGCACATCGCGAGTGGGCGGGCAGCACGGCAGCAGTTGAGTGGCCAGCTTTGGCAAGACGTCCCACCGGCGGACTAACGCAACGGCTTGGTGGTGGTGGGCGGGAGGGTGCAGACAGGCCCCCAAACAGGCGCCAGCCAGCAGGGCCCACATAACTTACTGTCCAGAACGTCGCGCACGAGGTCGGCATCGGCGGCAGAGCGCAGGCTGTGGACTGCGAAGGGCTCCCCGCTGCTGTGCCCCCACACGACCTGCAGGCGGGGGCGGGGCGGGCACTCGGGTAGGCAGCAGCGTGGCGCAGGGCCCCCGGGTTGGCGGGGGCATCCCATCGTCATTCGGCGTGCCTATTGCACGCACCTGAAAGGTCTGGGGCGCCGGCTCGGAGCCCATTGATCAGGCGGCGGTGGGAAGAGGCCCCCGGGGTGCTTGGACGTGAGTGTGGAGCTTGCCTGGGACTGCAGGAAAGGGGCAGGGAGCTGTTGCGTTTTCTCACGGGCGCCAGGTAGGATGGAGCCCTGGCCTCTGGGCTGGGCTACCTCCCGCTTCTCTCCTGGCGAAGCCTTGTCATCGACATGGCCCCAGCACGAACAATGACCTCCCTTTCAATGGCAGAGCCTCTCTGCTGCCCCTCACCCGCCCCCCGACATTCCGCCCTGGGCCCACACGACGCCCTGCTCACAAATGGAGAGCCATGCGCAAGGAGAAGAGCAAGGTGGGTGCTGTCGGATTGTCAAGGACGGGCACGAGGGCACAGGGCCCCGCCGACCGTCAGGGCGTCGGTGACGGCAGCCCTCGCAGCGAGCAGTGGGTCTGGACAGGGACAGGCAATTCGTGCCTTGGTGCGGCCCCCTGTTCTGCACCATCGGCTGTGCGCAACGGGATCGTCTGGTGCACTGGGTGGTGTGGTGGGGCATCTCCAATGAGCTAAGGGCAGTACCAATTGGCCGCCCACGCTAGAAAACCCTAACCCGCAAGCGGGTGCTCGTCGCAAGGCCCCTGCTGGGAGAAGTGTGTCATTGCTTTGGCATTGCCCTCCTGAAAGTGGCTGCCTCGCCACTGCATCCCAGCGCTGTAGCAGCCGGAACCGGCCTGCCACATCTGGGCAGCACTTCACGCCTCCTGATCGAGAACCTCTTGCTGAGCGGCCTCCTCCATCTCCAAGCAGCCGCGACCCGCCGGCCTGCTGTGGGGCAGCCTGCGCCGTGTTTTGGCGGACACACCTGATACCTCAACCATGCTGGAGGTCTCCATCGCCCCATGGGGTTGCCCCACAGCAGTTGGATGTACCACAAGCACGCACTGCGCCTGTGCCTTGCACAGGGGTGTGCAGCGGCGGCAGCGGCGGCCACCCTCAGGTGCGCTTCGTCGCCCCCCTGCTGCCCCCCGCGGCCAGGCCGCGGGTCCATCTGGCCATTATGCTTACCTGGACGCGGTTCGCACACACGGTGCGCAACGCGGTCGGTCGGCGGGGGGGGAAGCGGGCACCCCTTGCCTGGTCAGGGCGCCAGCCAGGCCTCCCCGGGGCCCGCCGCCCGGTGGAACCGATCTGTGATGGCATGTTGTGGCCCATACACCGCTTTCGCGTTCAAAACAACGCTGTGGATGGGGCAAAAGATGGTGGTGCAGTTGCCCGGAAGCTGCCTGCCGCCTTGCCTGGTGGCGACGGGAAGGCCCCGTTCGTGGCGTGCGACACGGCGCACCACGCGGAGATGGTCCGGACAGCTGGCGCGTGCCAGTCATGTATATAAGCCGCCCGCCGATGCAGGTCGAGGCATTCCAGTCCCCTGCTGCCGGCGCCCTCCACCGCTGCCACCGCCCTCCCCACCCACCTGACCCTGCTGGATACAAGCCTGCCCTCTCCCAACACCCCCAACACCCCGCAATCCTCTAAGGTGAGTGACATACATCGTTTGTGGGCAGGCAGCAATGGGCTAGCGCAGTAGGTTTGTGGAGGGGCGGGCAGATCAAATAATGGTCTAAAGCTAGACGTTAAAACCGGGAAGTTAAGTCTGTGGAGGCTCTTCCCCACCTTTACCTTTACCTTTGCAGCATTGGCGACAGCGCTGAGGGGGCGTAGGCTCAGCTGCCATTCCAGCTTCTGTCCACCCCTGCCTCCCCTGCTGGGCCCTCTTGACCTGCTGCAGCCCTCCAGCAGCCAACCCCAGGAGACGCCATGGCCCCCACCAAGCCCAGCCGGCTGCCCCAGGTGCTGCTGCTGGCCGCCGTCGGGCTGGCTCTGATGGCGGCAGCCGCCGCCGCCGATGACGCCGTGGCGGCCTCCGCCGCTGGCCAGGACCCCTGGCGCAAGGGCGAGACCTGGCCCACCTTCAAGGGCCCCCGCGGCAAAGACAAGCGCCCGATCTTCTCCTCCTTCAAGGTGAGGAGCAGGCGTGGAGGGGCTGGGGGCAACTCAGCCTTGCCGTCGCTGCCGTGCACTTGCCGCCGGCCTTCCTGCTCCCTGCCTCTCCTGCTCACCTTCTCTCCCCTCCCTCCGCTGCAGGAGTATTCTGCGTTCTGCGACAAGACCTGGCCCGACCCCAACACCCCCGTTGGCTGCAAGCCACCCAAGGGCTCTGGCCTCAAGGTCAGCTGCGGCGCTGAGCATGGCTGCCTGCGCCGTGCCTCAGCAGCAACAACAACAAGGCAGCAGCGCCGCTGGCTGCCAAAAAATGTCTACCCCCGACCAGATGCCTGTCTGGCTGCGATGCGCGGCGCTGACCCTGCCCTCCCACCACACACCCTACCTGCCCTCCCGCAGTTCAACCCCAAGCGCATGCCCAAGGGCGTGCTGCCCTACGGCGCCTGCACCGGCAGGCCCCTGGACCACAAGGAGCACACCATCAACAAGGACGCCAACGCCACCCGCCCCGCAAAGCCCGTGCCGCCGCCTAAGAAGTACCAGCCCGCCAAGTGTGAGTGCGTGCCGCAGGTTGGGCTGGCCTGGCCCGCTGCTGCAGCCGGGCGTGCTGCTGTGCTGCCTGCCCAGCTCTCTGCACCGCGCACACATCTGCCCTGCACGCTGCTCCTCTTTGAAACCTCCCACTCCGCCCCCGCTGCCCCGCTGCCGCAGCCTCCGGCAACCAGGGCAAGCCCTGGGGCAATGGCAAGCCCGCCGGCCGTCGCCTGCTGGGCGGCGAGGAGGGCGCGACCGTCATGCGTGCCGCGCACGTGCGTGCCACTCGCACCCACCGTCGCCTGCACCAGGCCGGCGGCGGCGCCGACCAGTGCCCGGGCCTGCAGTGCGTCACCAACATCCCCAGCCTCGCCCTCGACTTCTCCCTGCCCCTGGACTTGCCCGACGGCTCCACCCTGGACCTGGGAGAGGTGATCGACCCCTCCACCATTGTCAACGACTTCCTGGCACTCACCGGCGGCGCCCTCTGCGACCTCTCCTTCTCTGGCGCCGACATCGCCAGCGGCGCCTGGCTGGCCCAGCTGATCGGCCGCTCCAACTCCTCGCTGGCACAGAAGGCCGGCTCCCTGGTGCCGCTGTTCAAGTGAGCGCGGCGGCCCTGCCTGTGGCTGCGCTGCGCCCGCTGCCTTGAGCTGGTGGTGCCGCTGCGGCCGCTGGTACTGCTTGCAGAGCTGCTGCTACTGCTGCTGCTGCCAGCCGCTGCCGCTGCTCACCTCACTCACCCCGCCTCGCCCCGCCCCGCCCGCCCCTTGCCACCCACCCCCCGCAGCAAGATGCCGCTGCGCCAGGACGTGAATTACCTCATCATGGGCTTCCCCGCCGGCATCCCGCCCTCCACGGGCAAGGACGGCGCGCCCGCCTCCAAGCTGGACAAGGTCAAGGGCGTGCTGGGTCTGGGCGTGGGCGTGGCCCTCAACCCCTGCACCCTGGACCTCCACCTCCAGTTCTTCGGCCTCAGCGCGGGCCCCATCCCGCTGGGCAGCTCCGGCCTGGAGCTGACCCTGTCCGCCGACTCTGTGGGCTTCTCCCGCGACGGCCTCATCCCCTCCAACCTGGACAAGATCGGGCTGAACCGCCGCTTCTTCACGCCCACGGGCTTCCGCGACGTGCCCGCCGCCGCCCCCACCGGCCACCTGTACTTCCAGGGCAGCGGCGCCGTGTCCCCCGCCGCCCTGGGGGCCCTGCAGAAGTTTGTGACGGTGTCGTTCAAGGCCACCCTCAAGGCCCTCATTAATACCGACCCGGTGAGCCCGCCTGGCTGGGCTGGGCTGGGGCACAGCCGGCTGCGGCTGCAGTCCCTGCTGACGAGGCACTTGCCTTGCCTTGCCCTGCCCTGGTTGGGCGCTGCCAGGCTGCCCTTGCCCTCCTGCCATGCTGCCTCCTCCTCACGCCCTGTGCCGCCTCCCTGCCTCCCTCCCTCGCCCCTGCAGCTCAACGACAACCAGGTGGGCGTGCCTGCCAGCTTCGACGACTTCCGTGTGCTGGCCAACCTGGATGCCGCACCCGTGATCAACCTGGGCGGCAAGATGTGAGTGTGGGGCTGGCCGGGGATGGCAGGAGGGTGGCTGGGTGGCTGGCGGGGGTTGACTGCCTGTACAGCTGGCCCCCTGCTCACCCACACACCTGCCCATCCGCTGCAGCCCCCTGGAGCTGGGCGACATCTTCCAGGCCAGGACCAACCTGTACCTGGCAAACGACAACGATGGCTTCACGCTGGCCGCCGGCCTCAACATCACCCAGGGCGGCCTGGGCGGACTGGTGAGTGCGCGGGGTGGGGCTACTGGGCGGCTGGTGGCTGGGTTGGGGAGCACTGGGCGGCTGAATCGCCTGAGTGTGGAGGGACCAGCAGCATTAGCAGCGGCGCACAGAGACCTCTCCCTGCCCGCTCACCTGCCACCCCCTGCCCTGCCCTGCCCCCGCTGCAGCTGGGCAAGCTGGTGACGATGCCTGTGGAGGCGCGGGACGCCATCTCAGCCATCTTCAACGCCGGCCAGATCGGCAGCCCGTGCTGCTCAAGGGCCTGAACGTGTTTGCCGGCGCCGAGGGCTGGGGTGCGTGCCGCGCCCGCGACGCTTGGCACCGCCGGGCTGTTGTGTCCTGCCTGCCTGCCTGCCGGCCGGCACCCCTGGCACCGACACTGACGGCCTGCTGCCCTCCCTGCCACCCTCCCGCCCCCACCCCGCCCTGCAGCGCTGCGTGTGGAGCTGGCCGCCGGCAACACGGGCGTGATGGCGGGCATCGGCCCCATGCTGGACCTCATCCGCCTGGCCTTCCCGCAGGTGCCGCGCACCGTGGGCGGCACCTTTGGCATCTCGGGCCGCACCCAGGGCAACGGCCTGCCCATTGGCGTCACGCTGTGAGTGCCTGCCGGGCTGCCTGTGGTTGCCGCCAGAGGAGAGGGCCGGCGTGATCGGGGTGGGCGCCAGCCATTGCACGCAGCGCCGCTGCCTGCCCCTGTTGCCTGCTCCTCGCCGCCTGTCGCTGCCCGATCCGCTGACGGAGCTCCCTGGCTGCCCTGCTTGTGCCTGCTGCAGGGGCCTGAACGGCGTGGGCGACAAGACGCTCTACTTCTGCTCCACCACCGCTGACTGCCCCTCGGGCTCCTCCTGCCAGCTGGGCCTGTGCTCCACCACCACCTGCGGCTCGGGCACCTTCCCCACCTCCGCCATCTCCTGCTCCCTGGCGGCCTGCCCCCCCGGCTTTGTCAACACGGGGCTGACCTGCGTGGAGCAGTGCAAGGCGGGAGAGGTGGACCAGGGCGCCACCTGCGCCGCATGTGAGCGCGACCGCCGCTGCCGCCACCGGTATTGGCCTGCGTCCTGCTGCTGCTGCCGCCGGCGTCGCTCTGCTGCTGCCGTACCGGCACGCTCCACCCTACGCTGGCACAGCAGTCGTGGCTGCCGGAACCGGTGCAGCGTCGGCACCACACAGCCATCAGGCGCTGACACGCCGCCTACCCTCCTGCCATCCCCGCCGCTGCTGCAGGCCCCGCCGGCAAGGAGTATGATGCCGGCCTGTGCTACACCCCCTGCGACCGCGCCAGGAACTACTACCCCGTTGGCCCCGTGTGCTGGCAGCGCTGCGGCGCCGGCTTCACCGACATCGGCGCCCTGTGCCGCTTCAACGGCCGCTCCAGCTTCGGCAAGGGCTGCTGGTGAGCCTGGGGCTGCTGCTCCTGCGTGCAGCCATAGACTGAGTGCGGAGTGCTGTGGTGTGCCTTGCTCGGCGGCGAGGCTGGGGCTGCTGCACAGCGGCAGCGCTGGTGCCTGTACCGCACACCAGCTTGGAACCCCTGGCCTGCCCCCGCCACTCACCCCCCTCCCATCCCTCCCCTCCCGCCTCCCGCCTCCTGCAGCTGCATCAAGGCCTTTGGCCGCGACAACGGCTGCTGCGGCTGCCCCGCAAACATGAACGACGCGGGCTGCTTCTGCTACCCCACCACCATTTGGAAGTCCTCCTACGGCCGTGGCGTGGGCACCGTGCCCGGCATCCGGAACAAGCAGTCCAGGAGCCGCATCGTCATCCCCACCGTCACCCTGCCCAACTGAGCGCCGGCGCCGTCTGCAAGACCCCTGATTTGTGATGATTTGCCACCGATTCCCTGATTCCTGATTCCCCACCAGCGAGCTGTCCCCGATACATCCCCTCCATGAATGATTATTCGATCCGTCCCCTGACCCCGCTGATCTGTCCCCTTCTTTGTGCCCGAGCATCCGCTCGCCACCCCCTTGGCCCATAACGCCCATTCTTACTCTCTGTGTGATGCGACCCCGCCGCTGTAAGCGCGTATTACTTGACTCAGGGCAATCAAGGGGCCCCAGCCGCAGCCGGCCGCTGCTGCCGCTGCATCTGCCGCTTGGACCTTCCCTCCCGCCGGTGCTGAAAACGAAACAAAAGCTTGAAGCGCACCCAGACCTGAGGGATGAGTGCCAGAGCACTGTTCTGTGTGGCTGTGCCTACTGGGCCGCTTCATGTTGGATGGGGGCGGGGGGGCGGCGGCGTTGAGAAGGGGGGCGGTAGGGGGGGGCCGTGCATCTGCCCGCCAAATCAACCCGCAAAACGCCGCCGCCGAGGCGCCCAGTTATCAACCGATTTTTTTCTGTGCGGACGCTCCCTCAAACGCCACTCGCTCTCTGCTTAGCAGGAGCGACGCGACGGGCATCGTGCCACAACTTCAGCCTTTGGCTCGTGCACTGTCCTGCAAGAGCTGCACATTCGGCGGGAGCCGACACCCCAGCCCTGCCCGACCGCCCAGCCCTGCCATCCCCGCCCAAGCGGCGCGGCACGTTTTTGCGGCGGCGGCGTCAGCAGTAGTCCCTTGCTGTCCTGCCCGCGCGTCAGCAGCCGGAGCGCATATCCTGCAGCCAGCATGCCAGCACCGCATCATCCACATGCTGTCGGGCCTGCCTTTCGACCTGGGGCGCCGCTCATGGATCGCACCGCGGTCGGCGGCGCCCTGCTCTTGAGCCTGGCGGTCATCGCGTTGCAAGTGCGGCGAACAGGGGTGGCCGAGCTGGCCCAGCCGCTGGCGTTTTTGCTGATCACCTTGATCCCACTGGCCACCGGGCTTTACCAGCGCCCGTTCTATCACAGGAACCGGTGGGTGCACGGCCGGTTGGAGGAGCCTCGCTGGATCCCGGAATCGCGCCGTGCCCACGCCGCGGCTCTCGCCCGCCTGCCGCAGGAACCTCATCATCCCAGTCATGCGCATCCTGGGCAACGTGCTACCCATGCACCGAAGGATACAGGTGAGATGCCCCCATGTGGTACAGCTCAAATGAACACATGCTTGCCGTGTCTTGCGCCATGCTGGAGGGGCAGCTGCGGCTCAGCTCGCCCTCTGGCTTGGCTCCCCTCCTGCAGGTCAGCGTGGCGCTCGCCATGGAGGTGCCACCGCGGCCTGGAGTGCACGGGGCAGTGCTGGATCTGATGAAAACTATGACTGGTGAGCGTGGGCGTGCCAGCTGCCTCTGCAAGACCAGGTCGGCATCACCAGCGCGGTTGTGCCTTGCAGGCTGCCGAGCTCTGCACCACTTCCTGTTTGGCGTCTTCTTGATGCTGCCCCCAGCCTCGTGCCTGCTCACCCAAGCCACCCTTGCATTACTGGCCTGGAACCCGCACGGCTACTGCGCAACTGAGGTGCGGTCTTTGGTGGGAGGTGGCCGGCTTTGAGGCATTCGGCGGCGCCTTGCTGACGTGGCATGCAGCGTCCCCGCAACTCACGTGCGCCCTGCCAGCTGGTGGCCCGCAGCTGCTTCAAAGCCCGCTGTCCCAGCAGCGCCAGCGAGGCCTGGCAGCGACGCTGGACCTTCTCAGCCTGCCGCTGGCGGCGGTGCAGCCAGTGGCGGAGCTCATCGGGCACACACAAACAGGTCTGGGAGATGTGTTGGGAGCCCTCGCGATGCAGTGCTGGGCGCGTCAGGCAACTGCTTGGCGTACACGCGTGCATGCTTCCTGCCCTACGCGGCGCTCAGCCCTGCAGCAGATCCTGTCCCAGCTGGTGCCGAGCCTCTGGCTGCCCCCACCTGCCTGGCTTGCAGGCTTGGCCCCAGCTGATGCGGTGTGCCACGCTACCATCAGCTGCCTATGCCTGATGGTACAGGTGGTACTGCCAACCATGATCTCCGCCCTGGTCTGGCCTCGCCCGCCAGCTGGCGAGTCAGCGGCAGAGGATGGCATGGCGTGTATGCCTGGCTTGCGGGCTGCAGCGAAGAAAGCTGGTGAGGGGGCTGACCTCTGGCTGCGGCGTGCCACCGGAGCCACCTCTGGCGCTTGGGTCAGGTGCCTGGTCTTCTGGTATCTGCTTTCCAACGTGTGGCTGCTGTGCAAGGTTTCAGAAGGTGTCTGAGGGATCGGCACAGCAGTGTAATCTGATGTAAACTGATGTAAACTGGTACACACGCGTAATTGGCCTCACAACCACCAGGCGGCGATGGCTGCCAGGCAGGCCAGCAGGACGGCCGCCAGCAGGAAGGCCTTCCCCTGCGTTGCTTGCCAGAAGGTCGGCCCTGCCGCCTGATGGCGCTGCTGCTGCTGCCGCTGCTGCCGCCGCTGCGGCGGCCTCCACTGCCGCCTTTGCTGCTGCGGCGGCGGCTGAGGCAGAGGCGGCGGGCGCCGGGGTCGGGAATATGCCACTGCCCTGTTGCCTGGCGCCGCGGGTTGCATCTGGCGGCAGGAGCAGGGGCGCGGGTCCTCGGCACGCAGGCTGCTGCTGCCGCCGGAGCAGGCGCGGCAGGCGCCCCCGGCACGCGGCATCTCCTCCTGCTCCCGCGCCTCCCATTCCTGCTGCTTCAAGCAGTTGAAGGTGTAGTTGTTGGCAGCGCCGCATGCCAGCACCTCAAACCAGGCGTAGGAGGACCCGCCTGCAACGCAGGGGGGAGGCCAGGCATGCACAAAGCAGGCACATGTCAGCAGGCAGGGGAGCCAAAATGGCAGGGGCCACACACACCGCGCTGTTGCCCGTGTGTGGCCAGAGGTGCACGGCTGACGACGGGGCTTGCGGGTGGTGGGCAGGCGCCGCGCCCGCCGCACTCCACGCCTGCAGGCGGGCATGCAGGCATGGCGGGCACGCACCCAGGTGCGCCTCCAGCCCCGCCAGCTCCTCTCCCAGCCTGCCGCCCCAGATGCGGCGGCGCTGCTGCGGGCTGAACAGGGGGCGGTCTGGGGTGGATACGAGCATGGACAGGGTCATGAGGTCTGGGGCAGCCATCCCCATGGCATCCATGAAATGCTTGTGCCTCCTGCATCATCATCATCATCAGCAGCAGCAGCAGCAGCAGCAGCCACGACACATGACAAAATGAAATCCGTTGATGTCGCCGTGCTGGGCGGGGAGGCATGGCAGGTGGGGCGCGATGGCACCGGCGGCCAGGGCGGGCCCGCAGCAGGCAAGCGCGCTGCAGCCCACGACACACACACACCCCGCCCCGCCACGGCACATGCACAGCACGCCAGCACTGCACTGCCAGCCCCCGTGCCTCGCCTGTAGCTGATGGCGGCCTCCACAAGTAGCGCCGCACAGGACCGCCCAAACGTGGCCGGCGCCTGGCCCACCCAGGCGCGCAGGAAGGCGAGCACGCGGGCGTTGTCCCGCACCGCACGCCCGTACTGGCGGTACATGTCTGGTGGTCCCGACACCGCCATAGCGTCGGCCTCGTCCTCGGTCATGGTCATCATGCAGCGGCACAGCTGCGCATGCTGCTCGCACTACCTGTGAGCGGCGGGCGGCGCCGCAGGCAGGTGGCGGGCGAGATGGGTTAGGGCAAGCGGCGACCAGCATTGAGTGCACCCCGCCGCATGCAGCGCTGCATCTGCCTGCACCTCTGGAAGCTGCCGGTGAAGGCGGGGCGCGCCAGCTCGGGAATGGTGGGCAACCCCAGGTCTGTGGAACAGGGTGTGGGAGCCGGTCTGCGCATTGTTCGCGGGCCACTGATCCACAAATGACTTTTGTTAGTGCGATGAACGGCTTCCGCTCCTGTGAAACCCCTGACCCTCCAGCTCAGCGTCGGCTGCATGTGAAAGCCACCACAGCGCCAATCGACTGCCGAAGTAGAACAGGTGCTCCTCAGCCGCATCACCCGCTGGTATGCGATGCTCTTGAGCTTGCAGGGGACTCGACTGAACGCAGGTGGGGTGGCGCATTGCGCCGTGGCAATGCAACAGTGGCGGTGCAGTGAGCCGGGCGGCAGGCAGCCTGCTCCCGGCCAAAACCATCCTTGTTCCTGTGCACCGCCGCCATGCAGCCTCCGGAGTCCGCCTCGCCCACACCTCTCTGCGCTCCATCCGCAGCTACAAGGCCATAGGTGTGCATCGCAGGCGCATGCGGCGCCACTGGGCTGGCTGCCGCCACTCCCGCCGCTGCCGCCCGCCTGCCCGCCTGCACACCATTGGATGCCCGCCACTGGCACGCAGCATCATGCCTGCCTGCAGCCCGCTGCCAGGGAGCTCGCTCCCGGCCACTCCTCCCGCTGCCTGCCTCCCTCCATCGCCGCTCACCACCCAGCCATCCCTCCGCCCGCAGGCGGCAGGCGCCAGAGGATGTCGCAGCACATCTCAGACGCCCTCGGCAAGCTGGACCTCATGATCTCCAGCTCAGCAGCAGGCCCCGGCGGCGCCGCCGCGCCCGCCGCCGCGCCGCAGCTGCCCACCTCGCCCGCCGCGGCTGCGCCGCCGCCGGCCCTGGGCAGCCTGCGGCAGCGCCTGGCGGCGGCCTTCCAGCAGAGCCTGGACGCAGCCTTTCCCTCCATGGCGGGAGAGCCTGCCATCGTCAACCCCTGCAACAACCCCAAATTTGGGGACTATCAGTGCAACAACGCCATGGGGCTGCACGGCAAGCTCAAGGGCCAGGTGCGGGCAGCGGCGCAGTCGGCTGGGGGAGCAGGAGGGATGGCTGGGTTGGGAGAAACAACAGCCGGGGGAGTGGCCGCGCCGCGGCGTGCGGGGACGCGACGTGCATGTGTGCGCGCTTCCGGTGGTGGGGTGCTGGCGGGAACGTGTGCAGCGGGGCGCACGCGGCGCTGCCTCGCTCTGCTGCTTCCCCGGCGTGTGCCCCGCCGCCCCCGCACCCCCGCGCCCACCCACGCCCTGCCGCCCCGCCGCCGCCGCAGCCCGATGCGCCCAAGAACCCGCGCGCCGTGGCCGAGGCGCTGGTGGCGCACCTGCCCGAGACGGGCATGGTGGCGGAGACGAGCCTGGCCGGGCCCGGCTTCATCAACATCCGCATCTCTCCTGACTGGCTGGCCAGCCACCTCACCACGTGAGGGCCGGGCAGGGTGGCGGGGTGGCAGGGTGGCGGGGGACGGGGGCAGGCGTGGCGGTTGAGGCCGCTGCGTCTGGGGGCCAGTGCCTGCCTGCTGCCCGCGGGTTCCGTTCACTCACCCCTGCACCTACGTCCTCTCTCTCTCACACCCAACCGTCCCTCCCTCCCTCACACACACACAACCCTCCCTCCCTCCCTCCCTCCCTCCCCCTCCCATCCTCCCTCCCCGCAGCATGCTGCGCCAGGGAATCTCCACCTGGGCGCCCGCGGGCTACGCCGGCCGCCGCGTCGTCGTCGACTTCTCCTCACCAAACGTCGCCAAGGAGATGCATGTGGGGCACCTGCGGTGAGTGGCTTCCCGGGGGAAGGTGATGAGGGGAGGTGCAGGGGGGCCAAGGAGATGCATGTGCTGGGGGGCACCTGCTGTGAGGGGCTGCTGGTGGGGGGCTGCGCTGGGGGAGGTG